GACTGCTAATCAGAAGTCTGGTGGTTCAAACCCACCAGCCACTCCTTGGGAGGAAGACTGTGCAATCTACTTCAATAGAGATACTGCCTCGGAAACCCAAGGAGATGTTGCTACGAGTCAAATTGACTCAATGGCAGTGAGTTTGGTTTTAGTTTTTATATGCATAGACTACATTTTCTTTATCCATTTGATCGTTATGACATTTGTGTTGTTTCTGCTTTTGGCTATTAACAATACAGTTTCTTGTTCCTTTTGGCTTGCTTTTGTGGAGAAGCTCTTTGCAGCAACCAGCAGTTTGTATCTCATTAGATTGGCTATTTGGACAGCAAGACAGAAAGTGGAACTGAGTCTGGTGTGGGGAGATGCAGAAAAGGAGAGTTGGAAGGTTTGATCTCAAACCTGGCCCCAGGGCCATCTGCTGATGGAAGGGTATTTTTCCTGTGGTTGATGATTAGTGGAGAGTCAATATCTAGGACTAGAACCAATGTTTATTGGACAGACCAGAAACGTTTTCAAAGGCACGGGCACAGCCTTAGATCCTTGCTTCTCTCTCTCTCTGTACTTAGAGGACCAGATCACCGTTTTATAATAGTTACACTGATGATGACGATGATAATAATAATGGTCTATACTTGTATGGGACTTGATGTTTATTTCCCAGCCATTACCTTTTTTTTTTTTTTAATAATTGTAATTTGGGTGAAAGTTTACAGAGTAAATTAATTTTCCAGACAACAGTTCATACACATTTTGTTTCATGACATTGATTGCAATCCCCGTGATGGAACAGTTATCTTCCCACTTCCGCCCTGTGGTTACCTATTCCCTATGTCTCTCTTTCCTATGGATTCCTGCCCTCTGCACAATCTCCCTGTGCAAACACTGCCCTTCTAATCTCCCATGATTGATTGTTCTAGAGTGTGCCCACCTGGTGTAAATGTTCACCTTACATGCCTGTCCATTGTTTGGCTGGAAGCCACGGGAGTGAATCCAGCTCCAGGCTTGAGGGGTGACTAGGGGCCATTGTCTTGGGGGTTTTACCAGTCTCTATCAGACCAGTCAGCCTGGTCTTTTTAATGATTTTGATTTTGTTCCACACTGTTCTCCCACTTTATCCAGGATGTCCTGCACTGATCCCTCTCCCAGTGCTTGGCAGTGGTAGCTGGGCACCATCTATCTAGTCCTTCCGTTCGCATTGTCAGCAGGCTGAGGCTCTCATGATCCACTAGTCCTTTGGACTGCTTCCATGTGTCTCTGGTTTTGTTCATTCTTCTTTGCTCTGGATGAGAAGGGACCAATTCTTGCAGTTGGATGTCAGCCATTACTTTCAATTCCTCAGAATATTATTGACACAGAGCACAGAGAGATGCAGAGAGGTGAGGTGACTTAACCAAGGTCACACAGTGAGGTAACAGGCAGAGCCAAGAATACAGGAATTTCTTGATTGCTAGTGTAGGGTACTTTCCATAGCAACATTGGAGAGAGAGTGGCTGCATATGACCTCAGATGGTCTAGGGCAGAGTCATCTGTGGTGGAGGTGAGACCCAGGGGACCTCCACGCTATGTTATGAGCATGCCTTCTGCAGGGTCTGTCTTGTTCCCTGTGAACAGATTTCCCTGTGAACCACCCCATGTGGGTGAATCATCCCCTTTCATTTCTCAGCTTCCACTCCAGACCCCTTGGATCATTTCCTCCTGAGATCTGCATAGCGATAAAGCAGACTAGGACCTCTTCTGGCCACCCTGAGCACTCTCATCTGCCCCAGGATCTCCCATGCTTCTGGGGAAACAACCCCAGAGAACCAGCATCACATGACCTAGCATGGGCCATGGGGTGGAGAGGAAACTCCTGGGGCAGCAGAGATGCTGATTGGCAGGGCCTCCATGACTTCCCTCAGGCCTGGAGGGGGCTCTCCTCACCTGCCCATTCATACCTGCTTTTGCTACCTCTCTCTCTTTTTAAAAAAATTGGTGCTAACACAGGGGGTGCCCCAGTCAGAATGGACTCAAAGGCAACTAACAACTAACTAACTCATAACAACCACCGCCACCACAATAACCAGAAACCAAAACCAGTTGCTGTCCAGTGGACTCTGTTCCCATGTGTGTCAGTGTGGAACTGCTCCATTGGGTTTTCAGCAGCTGACTTTTTGGAAGTAGATAGTCAAGCTTTCTTCTGAGCCACCTCTGGATGGACTTGAGCCCCCGATCTTTCAGTTAGCAGCCAACATAACTGTATCTATATAACACAGGTATCTATATAACAAAACACTTGCCATTTCCACATTTTTTATACATGCAGTTCTGTGATGTTAATTACAATCACCGTGCAACCATTGTTGTTGTTGTTGTTATGTGCCGTCGAGTCGGCCCCGACTCATAGCGACCCCTCCTTGGGTTTCCGAGGCAGTATCACTACGGAAGTAGGATTGCCCAACCTTCCTTCCGAGGAGTGGCTGGTGGGTTTGAACCGCCAGCCTTCTGGTTAACAGTCAAGTGCTTTAGCCACTATGCTACCAGAACTCCTGTGCAACCATTACCACTTTCAATTACCAAATTTTTCCATTTCCCTTCACAGAGGCTCAGTGCCCCTTAAGCAAGGAGCTCCCCTCTCCCATCCCTGGTTACCATTAATAAACTTTGATCTCTATACATTCGCCTATTTTAAATATTTCATGTAAGTGACCACTCTTCTCATTGAGCTGAATGTACGTTCTTCCTCCTCTTGTCCTATACCTTCTCTTCCTCCTCCTCCTCCGTTCTTTCCTTTCCTTGCTGCCTCCATCACCAACCCCTCCTCTTACGGGTTCCTGTGTATCTTTGTGTGAGTCTGGGACCCTGTATCCTTAGAATTTTTGGCTGGGTTTACTGGAGGAACAATTTTCAATCTCAGAGCCATGACACATATTGAAGTCATTGTGGGTTACAAGAAAGTTGTTACAAATAATAGTAAAGGTGCTAACTTTTGCTAATGATTTACCTTTTGCTTATAATAAATAAAGGGGCTATGGTGGCACAGTACCTAAGGCATTTGACTGCTAACCAGAAGGTGGGCAGTTCAAATCCCCCAGCCGCTCTGCAGCAGGAAGATGAAGCAATCTACTTCAGTAAAGATTTACCACCTCGGAATCTCAATGGGGGGGTCACTGTGAGTCAGAATCAACTCAAAGGCAGTGAGTTTGGTTTTGAGTGCATAATAAATAAGACCAGATTCAAGGTTATACCTTGATGTAATCATGTCCATTTCACCTACTCAAGTTAGATATGGTTGCCTGAGAGGAAAGAGAGGGGTGGAACTGCATGAGCACTGTAGCTCTGACTAGCTTATCTCAGCACCAGCTAGTGGCTGCACCTGCTGGCCCTGGCCTTCCTTGGGAGTATGGCTCACATGCAGATGTCATTGGTTGTGAGTGCTGGGGCAGCAGAAGGTTGATCACAGCTGATCCAAGCAGGGTTGGTGAGGCAGAAAAGTCGCTTCGATCCTCTGTTTTTGTTCTTCCAGTTGATCCTCTTTGTTTTTGTTCTTCTGATTATAAGGCCAAAGCCAGAACCTGGAACTTGGGTAGTTAGCTGTTAAATATGTGCCACTGGCTCCTAGGAGGGAGGGCTGGAGTCTAGAGTGCAGTGTGACCCACCCACCCCTTGGAGGTGCCACTCGGGTCATCTGAATACTAAGATAGGGTAGATTTCAGTTTGTGACAGGGCCTGTTGTGCGGTGGGTTCTGATCTTTTTGAGGACAACAACCATGCATCCCGCACACCTCGTATCTCCTCCCCAGAGTCTTATAGCATCAAGCCAGTGAGCCACTGGTACTCCTTCTTGCTCTGCACCTTCCAGGCTCCCAAGCATCACTCCTGAATTCCTGCCAACAGGAATTTGCCTCAAGCTCCTACTTGATAGTCCTCACCACTCCCTGGGAGACTCATCTCAGGAGATTATTCTAATTTCCAGTAGAAACAAAGTGACCCAATGGAGAGAGGCTCAGCTGAGGGAGGATTGGTTACTGGGGCCCTTTGCCAGGGGCTCAGGGGCTTTGGACAATAATTAAATCTGCTCTGGTCTCATGGAAGTGGACATCTTGCCTCTTATGAGGAGAACTGGACAGCATGGCTGTGCCCCTTGGCTAGTGATAATAAACCCTTCTGGCATTGCCTCCTCTAGGGTTTGTTCCTGGAGACCCAGGTCTTCTGTTACTAAGTTTGTCTACATGCCATCTTCAGGGCAAAAGGCCAGAGGTTCTCAGCTAACCCCAAAGCAGACCTAGAGACTTTGAGTGGGGGAGCTTGCCTTCCTTCCTCTTCCTGCTTGCTTTTCCCTACCAGGCTCTGAACCCCACAGATGAGCTACCCTCATCTTCACCTTCCTCCTTTCCTTTCTCCCATGATAGTCCTCAGGGCCCAACCCCAATGAGAAGGAACAGTGGGTGCCTAGGAGAGGGCTGAGTGGCAGGAGAGGATGAGCCTCTGTTGAGGGACAGAGCAGCCATATTGGACCCCAGCACAGTAACATCCAAGATCGTAAGTGGAAGGCTGGTGGTTCCATCTGAGAGCTGGCAGGTGCTGCGTCCATTCCTCTGTGTGTAAGTGTGGGTGTGTGCACGCATGCGTGTGCTAAGTGTTGGCCCTGCTGGTTATTGCACCAGTTACCCTCTGGATCAGGATGGAGAGGCCCTCTCCAGCCATCACAGAGGACCAAGATCCTGGAAAAAGAAAGTGGAAGGAAAATGGAGGAGTAGACAAGGGGAGACTGGCAGGTTTGAGGTTGATGGGGTCATTGGCTCCTCTGCCAAGCCAGGTGTTCAGGTGGCCCTGTTATCTGGCTGATTAGAGGACAATGAGGTGCAGCAGGCTGCAGGGCACGCAAGAGTGATTGAGCCAGGGTAGACAAGGGGTTTCTTGGGCCTTCCAGGTGCCAGCGGCCGTATAAGGAGGGTACCTGAACATCTGGCTTGGCAGAGGAGCCATATGACCTCATCAGTATCAACCCTGCCAGTCTCCTGCCTGTGCCTCTACCTCCCTTCCGCATTTTTCTTCCTAGACCTTGGTCTCTCTAAGATGGCTGGAGAGGGGCCAGTGTGGCTGATGGCCTGTGGGTGAGGGGAGCAGGACGAGATAGAGTCTGGGCATGAGGTGGAAGCTGGAGGTCTGGGCTCTGCAGGGAGGAGGGGTGGGCAGCTCCCATGAAGAAGGCTTAGGAGTGGAGCTGTTGCCCCAGTTGGCAGGACACGGACTGGCCAGGGGTACAAAAGCATTCTGTCAACTTGGCAGTGAGATCTTTGGGTCATTTCAATGAGGACTTAGGTGTTGGGCTGACTCCCTTGGCTACTTCAGTGGGGAGCTCGGGAGAAGGAGCGAGTTACAAAGTTGGGGGCTTTGACAGCCCAGTCCTCTCTTCTTAAGCTCTTATATCATGGTCTTTGCCTCCCCTTCACCCCTTGGATATAGTCAGGGCAAGGCCAGCATACCAGAGTCCTTGTTGGGGATTCCCCCAGGTTCTGCCCAGCTGGCCCTGTTGCATAATCATTCTCACGAAGGCTTATCTCATCCTGAACATTCTGCCTGGTGATTGGGCTGCAAACAGCCTGGTCACCAGCAAGGGCCAGATGGAAAGTGGGGAGTGTGTGAGAGCAGCGAATTTGTCGTAATTGTGTTGTCATGGTGACGCAACTCTGTTTAGCTGCCTTGCCACCATCCTAGCCAGCAATGGCCTAAATAAAATAAGTTTTACCTGCAGCTTTCACAGTATGCAGCCTCACCCTCTCAAAGGCTGCTCTCTGGCCAGGGCCTGTGTGTGTGTGTGTGTGTGTGTGTGTTTAGGAACAAAGGGGCTTGAGGGACGATGAATCCCGGATGACGATTCCTCTCCTTCTTTTCTCACCCCAGCCTCAGTCCTGTGACCTGTATCACTTTTGACTAGTCGTTCTCAAACTTGAGCATGCATCAGAATCTCTTGGAGAGCTTGCTCAAACACAGATGCCTGGACCTCATTGCCGAGGTTCTGGTGTGCACCTGAGAATTTATATTCCTAGCATTTCCCAGGTGATGCTAATGCTGGTGGTCTGGGGACCATCTTTAGACTTTAGGATATCCCAGGAAAGAAAAGGCATTCAACTTTCTGTTTTCTGCATTGTGTGTTAAACTGTGCCCCTGAGCCCAGTACTCTGCCCCCACCCCCATTTTTTTTCTTTAAATTGTCGTTTGGGTGGAAGTTTGCAGAGCAGATTGGTTTTCCATTCAACAATTCGTACACATTTTGTTTTGTGACATTGATTGCAAGCCCCACAATGTAACGGCACTCTTCCCACTTCCTCCCTGTTTATTGTTTCCCTTTGTCCTTCTTTCGTATCTTTTCCTGGTTTTTGAGATTTATTCCTAGGCAAATGCTGCCCTTTTGACTCATATGGTTGATTGTTCTAATGACTGCATACCCCCCTGGTGTTATTGTTCACCTTACAGACCTGTCTGTCATTTGGCTTGAAGGGTGTCTTGAGGACCATAGTCTCTAGGGTCCCACCAGTCTCTATCAGCTCAGTAAGCCTGGTCTTTTTTATGATTTTGAGTTTTGGTCCATATTTTTCTCTCCTTCAATCCAGGACCACCTATTGTGATTCCTTTCAGAGCTGTCAGTGGTGGTTTGGCACCATCTAGTTCTTCTGGTCTCAGGGTTATGGAGGCTGGGGTTCACATGGTCTGTTAGAACTATGGACTAATTGTTTCCTTGTGTCTTTGATTTCCTTCACTCTTCTTTGCTTCAGATGGGGAGAGACCATAGGCTCTCAAAAGCTTTTAAGACCCAGTCACTACTCACCAAAGCATGGTGTGGAACATGTTTTTGTGGACTATGTTATGCCAATTGACTTAGTGCCAGTTGTCATAGACTTGAGACTATGGTCCTGAGTCCCAAGGCCCAGTGACTCATTCCCTCAAGGTGTTTTGTGAGGGCTAAGAAGTTTTCATAATTTTGCCCCCTGTATGCTCTACTATATTCATGGATATATTTGCAACACATATGAATACCAAAAAAAAAAAAAAAAACGTCACTGGGATTGAGTCAACTCAACTCATAGTGACCTCTCCTTGGGTTCCCAAGGTGGTATCTCTACAGAAGTAGATTGCCCAATCTTCCTTCCGAGGAATGGCTGGTGGGTTTGAACCACCAGCCTTCTGGTTAGCAGTCAAATGCCTTAGGTACTATGCCACCAGAGGTCCCACATATGAATATATATGTAGAAGTATTCTCTGTCAAACTTATATATATTTGTGGGTGTGGTCCCACACCTTCCTACCCCTGTTTAGCTTGAGTGTCTGTCTATGGTATCCACTCATAGATTATTGTTATTACTGCTGTTGCAGGATTGGAGATGTAATAGTATTTACCTTTGTTGACTTGAACTCTGTGCTCCTCCCAGCATATTCCTTTGCCTTGATGATTTTGTGCTGACTTCCCCCTTATTGTGAGCCCAGGGCTCTTGGAGAACAGGAAAGGAAGGGGGCAGGCAGGCCTTCACTCACCAATTCTGTGTTATTTGGTCTCTTCACAGGAAGCAGGAGCTGGCCAACAGCTCAGATGTAACCCTCCCAGACCGGCCACTATCCCCGCCTCTCACTGCACCTCCCACCATGAAGGTAAGAGCCTTAGAGTTGATAAGGGGAGAAGGGAAGCGTGTTGGGGCAAGTATCAAGTCCTTGATGTCACTTTGGCTGCAGGCGCAGTTGTTCCGTGTCCCAGTGGAGGCCATGGAGTAGCTGACACCTCTGGAGACAGCATCTAATTAAACTGCACAGGTGTGGGACTGCAAGTGTGCCTGTAAGACTTAGGTGTGGCAGTGTCAAGGGGTGGCGAGGAAATAGACTGGTGTTGAAACAAGGTTGGCACAGTTCTTGGTCATTAGTGGAAGGCTTTATGGAGCTGAGGGGCTCAGGAGCAGGGAGCCCAGGTGGGAGGAAGTGAGGCAGATTTTGAATGCAGCAGGTACTTTAAGGGGCAGCCACCCAAAAGGTCTGTCTGGGGCTGGTGGTGGGGAGGGAGGGGTCCTGTGGAGGGGGACCCTCATAGGATTTGAATGGCACTCTTGTGCTAATCTCTCTGCATCTGACTGTTCCTCTTGGGATGTCCTTGGGTCTTGTCTTTTCTCACTAGCATTTCATTCATAAGTCTGTTCCCTGGGGAGAACAGATCCCAGGCCCAACACCCTCTCATTCCTGGAAAGGAGCAGGGGACAGTATTCTCACCCATTCCTATTCCCACACTCTTCTTTGTCCACCTTCCAGTCCCCCCAGCAGGATGGTCCCACAGGCCTGAGCTGGCCCTTAGGGGAACTTTTGGCTCAGCCAATGTCCCTGCCTAGGCAGCACCTCCACCTCGAATGCTTTTCAGGGTGAGAATGAGCTCTGAAGAAGACATCTGCCTCCTGAGTCATCTGAGGGGACATCTAGGCCAATCCCCATCTCTATTCTGGGGTTTGCTCTGGGATGACTCATAAGGAAATAATTAGACATCTCTTCCTAATGCTTCATGTTGTACCCCCTTCCCTGACCAAACCTATTGCAAGGTGGCACCCCCAGAGGATGCAGGTAAAACCTACCCATGTTCCTGCTCTCATCTCATACTGAATGCTTACCAGGAGCAAGGGCGTGTAGTATGGGAATGGCAGCCAGAGCCCTGGTTGGATTAGGAGTTCTGCAGTGGGCAGGCGCAGGGCTGACTGAGAACATCTCTGCTGTCCTGGTGGGGCCCCCAGGGGACATTGAAAGACCAGCTTCACAAACCTGGTCCCAGTGTTGTTGATATCTGAGCTGGGTGCTGGGGTTGGCTTATTTGCAGAGTGATGGTGAGAAGCATGTCACCATTCTGAGTTTTAGCCCTATGATTTGCAGAGTTGGCTGTGGGATGCTTATCTCTGTGCTCATGGGTGGTGTGCATTTGCAGAGAGAACTCTGAAAGTTTCCTAGGACTTTCTCTTGGTAGGCTTTGTTGTTGTTGTTATGTGCCATTGAGTCAGACCCGACTCATAGTGACCCCTCCTTGGGTTTCCAAGGCAGTATCACTACGGAAGGAGATTGCCCCATCTTCCTTCCAAGGAGTGGCTGGTGGGTTTGAACCTCTAGCCTTCTGGTTAGCAGTCAAGTGCCTTAGCCACTACGCTACCAGAGCTCCCTGGTAGGCTTTACTTACTCACTTATTCACTCGTTTATTTCCTTCAATACCTAGAATTTATATGTCATAATAGTCAGAATTCTTCAAGTGACAGAAACATAATTCAGTTGGGCTTAAGCATAAAAAGAAGTTTATTGCCTTTGTAATGGCAAGTATAAAGCCCAGGCATGGCTGCATCCTGAGTTCTGTCTCTCGTCTGTGTTGGTTTCATTCTTTGTCAAGCTTTGTCTCTGTGGTAGCAGGAGGGTGACAGCAACTTCTGCCTACTGAAAGTAATCCCAGTGGAAAAAAGAGTATCTTTTTTGGTAACACTTCTAACAGAAGACCCAGGGATTGAAGCTCATTGGCCTGGCTCAGGTCACATGCCTATCTTTGAACCAATTATTGTGGCCAGAGAGATAGAAGGCATTGATTGGCCAGACTTGAGAATCATGCCCACCCAACTAAACCATAAGAATAGAGAGTGGGGAAGGGGTGGTTCCTCAAAGGAAACTTGAGGTGCTACTATGAAAAGAAGAGGAAATGAGCAAGATGAGCAAGACCAGCAGCTTTCTACCACAGGTGTTGATGATGTGCTAGATATTGGGGGTCTAGTAGTGAACAAGGCAGTTTGGGTCCCTTCTCTCCTGGAGTTTGTAGTGTATCTAGGGAGAGAAGACACTTAGATGTGATGAATATTCTAAAGGAGAAGCAAGGGTAGCTTGGAAGAATGTAACAGGAGTTGGAGGGCTATCTAACCTAGTCTTTGGGAGGGTCCGATAGAGCTTCTTTGAGGAAAAGATGTTTAAGCTGAGCCCTGACAATTGAGTGGGAGTCAGTCAGGCAAAGGTGGAGTCAGAGGGAGAATGCCCTAGATCCTTGTAACTCAAGTGAGGAGGAACCAGCACTGGTATCTTTCGGATCATCTTTTGCATCATTTGGAAGCACTCTAGAAATGCAAAATCTCAAGCCCTGCTCCAGACTTCCTGAATCAATACCGGCATTTTACTGAAGTCTCCAAGTGCTAGGTTTGCACATTATGCTTGAGAATCATTGCTCTGGCTATGTACACATGTGCTGAGGCAGGAGAGAGATGGGGAAGAAGACCAGAATAGCTAGAACACCCAGGGTTAGGGACAGAGAGGCTGGACATGTAGGCAGGGACCAGAGCAAGCAGATAATGGGAAGTTTTGCTAAAAGATTTTCGTGTTTATCCTAACAAAGGGCACTGAAGTCATTGATTTTCATCAGAGGAGTAAGAGGATGGGATTTTTTTTTATTTTTTTTTTTAATTAGGATTTGGGTGAAGATTTACAGAGTAAATTCACTTTTCATACAGCAGTTCACATATACTTTGTCTCATGTCATTGACCAAAATTTACAATGCAGCAGCTCCCCTCCCACTTCCTCCCCATAGTTACCTCCTCCCAGTGTCCATCCCTTCATACTCTTCTGCAGAGGATGGGATTTTTGAAGAATGGTTACGGGGAGAATACATGAGAGGGAGTGGAGTGGCAATTGGGAGATAAGTTTGGGAGGCCTGCGGTGGTAGCCCAGGCAGGAGAGGATGGTGCCCTACTTCCATCTCAAATTTCAAGGAGGTAGATTGAGATTTGAGGATTAGGGAAGAGGGAGGAGAAAAAAGTGGCTTCCAGTTTTGGAGCAACTGGATACATGGGGGAGCCTTTTGCTGAGGTTGGAACGACTCGGGATGAAGGGGGTAGGTCAGGGTCTAAATTCTCAATGTGCTGAGTTTGAAGTGCCTGAGATATGAGGAGGATGTCTGTGAGCAGCTGGGTATTTGGGGCCAGGTTCAGAAGAAGGGTCTGGCTGGGCTGGAGGTCCAAATCTGGGAGTGTTCTCTTAGAGGTCAGCTCACAGTGGTGAGCTGTCCAGGCGGAGCATGGAGTGAGAAGAAGAGGGACTCCTCCAGCTGGTCTTGAGTCTCTGCAGAGGAGGCTGGACCTAGATGTGGAGGGAAGGGATATTGAATGCTGCTCAGAGACCAAGAATTATGGGAGTGCACAGTGGCTACTGGGTTTAGGGCTTGGTGGTGGCTGCTGATGTAAATGAGTGCAGTCCAGGGGAGGAGTAAGAGATGGACAGCAGATTGGAATGTGCTCAGGAGTGAGGAGAGATGGTGAGAGCCAGGTGTAGAGAATGCTTCTGAGCTGGAGAGATTTGAGCACATGTGAAAGCCAGAAGGAAGGAGTCAGAGGGGTGAGGAGTAGCAGGAGAGAGCAGAGATCAGAAATCTGGTCCACAGTAAGAGATTATGAGTTAACATATTTATTCATTCCAAAGATATTTACAGACATCCTCTGAGTGCCTGACCCTGCTTTGTTCTGGGCTGGGGTGTCACAGGGCCCAGGGGGATAAGGCTGGCTTGAGCAGAGTCCCAGGCAGGCGCAGAGCAGAGCAGCAACCCTGAGGGAAACCTCATTGACTCACTATCAACTCTCCACGCCCATCCCCCAAACATTCTGTCCTTCTCTTTGAATTCTGCTTAGGAATTTCACAACCAGTGACTTTACTGTCCAGAGCCCCAAGATGTGGGGGGTTGCCTGGGACTCAAAGACAACAGTTGGGCCCTTCCATGGTTGGTGTTGTGACCAGTGTGTGTGGTATGCCTGAACTTCGGGGACTCTTTGTAACTGTGATGTGGGCTTATTCTGTGGTTAAGACAGCAGTGGCTGTGGTTAGGAGCATGTTTGTGGCTAGCACATGTTTTCCTCCATGTGCACAAGTAACTGACCTGTATGGGATTTCAAACCATAGTCCTCACCTCACACCAGCCTGCTCCAGCCAGCCCCAGAGGAAGCCTTCCTGTTGTGATTGCAATTACCAAATTATATTGCAGTTCCTGTTGCTGGGGGTCCAACCCTTCCCCTAGACTGAGTTCCTTGAGGGCAGTGACTGTGTCCTGGCTCAGAGTGGGTGCCTGATAGACGTTTATAGTGTTTTCTGCATGGCAGATCCAGACTGGTGGAGGCAGGGACTCTGAGCTTGCTTCTGGCATTGCTCCTTCACCACTCTGTTTTCGCGTGAATCTTATATCCCAGCAGGCTCTCTGTCCCCAGGTAATAATTTTCTAAATTAAGCTCCTAGAGTGTACTCTTTAAGCTGTGGACCAAAGACCCTTCCCTTCCTCATCAGTCTCACCTGAGATTCTTGTTAACTCTGCAGATTTGGGCTACTATCTGCATATCTGTCTCTGCTTTGTTGACACCTCTGACTTCCCCAAGTTATTCTTGCATGCTGAGGTCTGAGGTGCCACGGGGTGAAGGCTGGGGGTCTCCGCAGGTCTCCTCATGAATCTGCTCACTACCCTCTGGGCATCTGGGTAATTGAGGTGGGCCTTTTGTTCCCTTGGCAGTATAGCCACAGGGTGAGGTGCCCCTTTGGCTGATTAGCTTGGCAGTCATAGAATGTCAGGAATGGACCATCTATTGGCTCTGTAAGTAAACCGAACGCACAGAGACAAGAAAGG